TACGTGGTTCAAAGCACCTTGCAAATAGGTGATGAACTTTTCAACACAAAGTACAAGGACAAGTTAGAACCTTCTTATAAGGTAGAAATTGCTTCTCCTTTCAGACAAGCAAGCTTCTTTACTAGAGAGCAAAGAAGCACCACGGATATGGTGACATTGTTTTCTTAAAATCTAGAACATATACACAACAATGACACATTTATTATATATTTTTCGTGAATATATATGATTTTTATACTGAAAGGAAATTGAAAGTTAATAAGTATATTATATGTTTAAAAATAAAAGTTCGATGTATATCACTCTTAAAATTTGTTATTTTTGTTATACATCATTGTTTATCTTCGCTTTTTAAAAGTAAATAAGATAAAAGTTTGAATTCTTTAGTTCATTAAATAATTGTTTGCCATATGTTCATAAGTGTGCAACATGTATTTATTAATATTCGACACGTGCTGAACAAGTGCAGACTTGTATTCAATTTGTTCAACTGGTATTTGACACATGGCTATTGGAGTGTCCAACATGGATACTATAGTCACACTAAAGTCTGTATACTTTTTGCCAACCATACTTTATCATACGTTTTCGTTTGGAGTACATGGAGCACATGCTTTGTTGTTTTATCTACAACATCTAGATGTATCGACTAGCCTTGTGAATTTCATATTTTCCTCAGTCAATTGTTGTCTTGAAAATAGGGGCTGATTCATGAGGTGTTCACTACCATACTGCGTGGCTTATCTGGTGCAAAAATTACTAGACCTGGAAAATTCCGTAGCTGTCAAGATGGTTATGCTGTCAAATCATCTTTGAAAGCTGAAGATGGTGTCTTGTATCCTCTTGAAAAAAGTTTCTTCTTTCTTCCCAAGCCTCCTACCCTTATTCTTCACGAGGAGGTATAAATTCCATATTGGGATCTTGCATGTTCTAACATCATTTGATGGTTCAATCCAATGAGTTGCTTACCATTTTATTATAATATGTTTGCCAACAGATTGACTATGTTGAATTTGAGAGGCATGCTGCTGGTGGGTCAAATATGCATTACTTTGATCTTCTCATAAGACTGAAAACTGAACAAGAACATCTCTTTAGAAATATCCAGCGGAATGAATACCATAATCTTTTTGACTTTATCAGGTGAGTCTGATTTTATTTCCTGGTATGTATGAAGGTGGCGTTTATTCCATTTTATCTTATTCAACCCTGCAGTGGGAAGGGTTTGAAAATTATGAACCTGGGAGATGCCAAGGCTAGAGATGGTGTGGCGGCTGTCCTCCAAGAGGATGATGATGATGCTGTTGATCCGCATCTTGAGCGCATTAGAAACGAAGCTGGTGGAGACGAGAGTGATGAAGAGGTAAACTTTGATTTATTCTATTTAGTACTACAGTTCTCTTACGATTGTGGTAGGTACTTTAGGCCTACTGTCCATTTCGCTTAGGAAGCATTAGGAAGTTTACTTTACTGCTGGTTAATGTCATGTGGTTGTAATTACTTGGATGTGGCTGTTTAGATCAAGTTGGTTAGCAAGGTAGCACTAGCAGTATCCGACCTAGCTGGTCGTGTTTGAGAATACTGGAAGGAGATGTGTGGCATTGTAGAGGGAAGAGGTCATGCCTATTGAAAATTCTGGAACTTGTTACTTAAACGATGCAGTACTACCCTAGCCAATTATTTTCTATCCATATATTCTCGGGCTCAATCAGATTGTTATTGTTTACTTGTCCTGGTCTTGTTTGTTGGATCAGGATTTAGGACTGTTGATGGCTTTTAGATATGTACATCAAGAGGGTTTCAGAATATGATGATGATACTGTCAGAGTACTTACTAGAAGGAAAACAGCGGGAATGTTAGTAGTAGTGACACATTTGTAGTTATGGAAGGTTGGTTTGTGTTGATTTATAATAGAGTAAGTTATGGGAATGTAACTCCCACTTAAAGTTATTTGTAGTTATGGGTAGATATGAGTAGTTATGAAAATGTAGCTCCAACCAGAAGTTACTTGTAGTTATGGGAAAGGATTAATAGGAAGGACACTGGCAGTTTAAGGGTGTGATCAAATTGCTAGAGTGTTTTGATGTTTCATGGAGAGACTTTGGCCCTCTCGAATTTGCCATCAACAACTAGGATTGTACCCTTCATTAGAAAGGTAGTTAACAAATAAAGTTCCTATCAGATACTTATTTATTCATGATGCATTGGTGCTTCTGGATGGCTTGGTTGTGTTTGGTGGAAAATTGATATAACCCATGCCTCCCCAGGCCCCTTGCCAACTGGGCCGCCACTTGGGGCCTAAAAAAAGTACTTTTTTATTTTTTTTTAGTTCAACGTGTGTCGGGTGAAGCTTTGAACCTCTCTCCTCAGTCGAGGATATGTTTCTCAACCAATTAAGCTCAAGTTGGCTTTTAAATAACATTTTTAGTCGTGTACAACGCACCTCGCACCCTAATGCTTGAAAGTTAATGGTGAATCTTTCATTGAGGCATATTTTCTTTCTGCACATGCAGTCCTTTTCAATCTTCTTATGTGGCTGGCTTATACATGAAGTTCTGAATTTACTGCAGAAATCTATATCATGTGTTTTAAAAACCTTATGTATGAGGCTTTTTAGTATGCGTGTGCAATTCCATATATAATATGGTAGCGGTCATGTAGGACGAAGATTTTGTGCTTGACAAGGATGATGGGGGTTCTCCAACTGATGATTCTGGCGGGGATGATTCTGATGCTAGTGAAAGTGGAGGTGAAAAAGAGGTCAGCTAGTTTGC